AGCTTGGAGGCCATCGCGTAGGTTCGAGGCCATCGCATTGTTATAGTAGGTTGGAGACCAGACCAGTGCTAGTAGGTTGGAGGCCCATCGCTATAGTAGGTTGGAGGCCATCGTTGGAGGCCATCGCTAGTACATCGATGGGCCCCCCTAGTTAAAGACTTGTAGCTTACTTGGTGAAGTTACAAACTACTTAAAACTAAGTTAGCTGGAGGGCTTCGTAAGTAAGATGTAACTTACATGTAACTGTTTTTTAAGTTCTGTAAGTTCTAATTGGTGATTTTTGATGTTCAAAAAATATGCTTTTTCAGGTTTCCCAATAGCAAGGCCCAAATCGAAGGACCTCGAAAAACTATGCTTTTACATGGGAAAGCGCTGCTGTGGTCCGTCCAAAAAGTTGTGGCCGGTGGTCGACTTACTTATATATATATATATCTCTCTCTCTCGAAAGTAATTTGGAACTGCAACGTAAATACCACCAAGAACTTAGAGCACTTCACAAACTTAGACCAGCTTACAACATCAGTTAACCCATGTTATAACATATGTTACGGCACTTTACAAGTTCTCCAACTAGCGGGGCCCATCGATGTAGGTTGGAGACCATGGCTATAGGGCCATCGCTAGTAGGTTGGAGGCCATCGCTAGTAGGTTGGAGGCCAACGCTAGTAGGTTGGTGGCTATCACTAGTAGGTTGGAGGCCATCGCTAGTGGTTTGGAGGCCATCGCTAGTAGGTTGGAGGCCATCGCTAGTAGGTTGGAGGCCATCCCTAGTAGGCTGGAGGCCATCGCTAGTAGGTTGGAGGCCATGGCTAGTAGGGAGCGCTAGTAGGTTGGAGGCCATCGCTAGTTGGAGGCCATCGCTAGTAGGTTGTTAAGCCATCACTAGTAGGTTGGCGGCCATCGCATTGTTATAGTAGGTTGGAGACCAGTGCTAGTAGGTTGGAGGCCATCGCTAGTAGGTTGGAGGCCATGGTATAGGTTGGAGGCCACCGCTATACAATGGGGGCCATCGCTATAGAAGGTTGGAGGTGATCGCTAGTAGGTTGGAGGCCATCGCTGGTGGGTTGGAGGCCATCGCTAGTGGGTTGGAGGCCATCGCTCGTGGGTTGGAGGCCATCGCTAGTAGGTTTGAGGCAATCGCTAGTAGGTTGGAGGCCATCGCTATAGTATAGGTTGGAGGCCATTGCTAGTAGGCTGGAGGCCATCGCTAGTAGGTTGGAGGCCATTGCTGGAAGCCATCCCGCTAGTAGGTTGGAGGCCATCGCTAGTGGGTCGGAGGCC